GAATTACCGCGAGGAGAAAGAGCACTGAGATCAAGGCCAAGGCCACCACCAGGTAAAACTGCAGTTCCGTCTGGGGGTCAGAGGGCTCAGGGCTGCCGCTAAGGTCTGGCAATACCTCTTGCAGGCTATCCGCGAAGATTAGGTGCAGCGTGGCGGTGGCGGAGAGTGGCGGCTGTCCTCCATCACGCACAGCGACCAGCAGGCGCTGGCGGGCCGCGTCCCTCTCGCCCAAGGCACGCGCTGTGCGCACCTCACCCGTGCGCAGCCCCAGGCTGAAGAGCCCGGGCTCGCTGGCCTGCAGCACGTGGTAGGACAGCCAAGCGTTGTGTCCCGAGTCTGCGTCCACCGCCACCACCTTGGTCACCAGGTAGCCAGGCTCTGCGGCGCGTGGCACCATATCGAAAAGTGCAGAGCCATCAGACCCCAGCGCGGGGTACAGCACCCGCGGCGCATTGTCATTGAGATCGCCCACCAACACTCGCAGGCTCACGTTGGCGCTGAGCGCTGGGGAGCCCTGGTCGCAAGCCTGCAGTGTGAGCTCGAAGGCGCGCAACTGCTCGTGGTCGAAGGCGCGCTGCGCAAACACCACCCCGCTCTGCGCGCTCACGGACACGTAGGACAACAGCTCCTGCGGCTCCAGGTCACTGGCCAGAATAGAGTAGGAGACGCTGCCGTTGGGTCCCAAATCCGGGTCGGAGGCGCTCACTTGTGCAATAGAGGCTCCAGGTGGGTTGTTCTCAGCCACATGGACCACGTAGGAGGCCTGATGGAAAACAGGTGCATTGTCGTTGATGTCGGAGATGTGCAGGGTGATGCTTGTCCTGGAGGAAAGGGATGGTTTGCCCTTGTCGGTGGCTATGATTGTGACGTTGTAGTCTGCTGTCTGCTCCCGGTTTAGGGCTCCACCAATCACCATCTTGTAAAAATTCTTCGAGGTGGATTCTAATTTGAAAGGAACTTCTTCCTGAATATAGCATGTCACCATGCCATTTTGCCCAGAATCCTTGTCTCGCACTTTTATGAGGGCTATTACAGTTCCAAGGTCTGAATCCTCTGGAATCTGGTTAGAGAAGGACATGAATGTCACCTCAGGGGCATTGTCATTCTCATCAACGATTTCTATTTGAACATTACAGTGAGCTGTGTGTACTCCTCCATCCTTGGCTTCTACACCCAACACATATCTACTTGTTTCTTCAAAGTCCAATGTGCCATTGGTTGTGATGTCGCCGGTATTTGGATTGAGATTGAAGAGGCTGGTACTTATTGGGGAATTGAGGAAGGCATAGGTGATCTCTGCATTAATGCCCTCATCCTGGTCTGTGGCCATCACCCGCAGCACGGAGGTTCCCCACGGCACGTTTTCTTGGAGGCTAACCCTGTATATATCCTGGCTAAACATGGGAGCATTATCATTGGCATCGGTGACTCGGATCCAGATGTGGGTGGTGCCGCTTAGAGGCGGGTCCCCGCCATCCATGGCAGTCAAGATTAAGCGATGAGAGCTCTGATGTTCCCTGTCTAGAGGTTTTTCCAGCAGTAATTCCGGATATTTACTTCCATCAGGACTTTCCTTCGTTGACAGAGAGAAGTATTGATTGGGGTTGATGGTGTATATCTTCAGTGAATTGCCGTCCACATCTGCATCTTGCGCAGAATCCAGAGAGAATTTTACCCCGGGTAAGGCTGACTCACAAATTTCTAAGTTAATGCCTTTTGCAATGAAACGTGGTGCATTGTCATTAATATCTTGGATTACAACAACCACGTGGAAAACATTCATTGGGTTTTCAGAGACCGTTTCGAATTCTAGTGCACACTCAAGTTTCCTTCCGCAAATCTTCTCTCGATCTATCCTACCGTTCACTAACAAATCCCCGCTCTCCAAACTAACGTTGAAATAATCCTCTGCACTAACCCGCAGTTTTCGAGTTGGCAACTCCTGGACACTGAGCCCCAGATCCTTAGCAAGGTTCCCCACCCGTGAGCCGTTGGCTAGCTCCTCTGGAATCGTGTATCGGATCTGCTGGGAGATGGCCCCGCAGAACAAAGACAGCAGAAAGGGAAACAGTACCTGACTTTTCATCGTTTCGGCTTCTCTGACTCTCTGCATTTCAGGAACTCTCCGCGGAGCTTCTTTTCTCTGGGATGTTTTTTTAAAAAGCAATGACAGCACCCTGGACTTCTGTAATTTGAGCGTAAGACTTATCAGTTAGGCGCTCGAGGGTGAACAGGGGCAGCGTCCGTCCTCAGTGCACCGGACAAGGCAGGAAGGCACCCTGCCTGACGCTCCTGCAGAATTGAGACGCCTTCACTTCCTTTTGGTCGACAGCGGCGCCCAGAGGCTGTCTTGGAAAACTGCACAGTGCCCAGCTATTTATCCTCAAAGCGCAACCTCTTGAATCTATGTACCCTGTCTTTAATTTGCTGGAAGGAACCAAATACTCACATTTCCCCCTTTACATTTCAATTTTCTAGTTTGTCATCATCACATAAGGGTCTTCATCATTTTGTATTCTTTTTTCATTTAAAAAAGTCACAAGGCACACAGTCATTTTTTTCAGTTTTGGGGGCAAAAAAAATCTTCAGTGATTTCACTATATTTATAAACTCTGGCATGACTGCTGTATCCATATAAGTGAATTAATAATTTTTATTTATATTTTTAGTGGACTAAAATACCTACCTTTCTGTAAATTCATTGGAATAAGTTCCCTTATCTAGTATTTTAAATCTCTCCATATATATGTTATCAAGTCAGTAATACTTTTCAAAGATAGTTTTTGCAAAAAAGAGGAAATCACAGCCTTACGATTATGTTAATATATTTCTCTTCTTTATAAAATATAGATAATATTTCCAGTTAAGTAGGGCAAAGTCTGATATTTTGTTAAAAGGGCAAATTTAGTATTGGGGTACACACACATGCTTTTATGAAGTGGAATTTCATATAATGTATATTTGTTTTATGAAACCAGTGTTTCTTTTTTAAATGAATGTATATGAAATACTCTAGGCTGTGTGCAGCGACCTGTGATCCCAGCACTTTGGGAGGCCAACATGGGAAGAACACATGAGGTCAGGAGTTTAAGACCAGCCTGGCCAACATGGTGCAAGCCGTTTCTACTAAAAAAATAAAAATTAGCTGGGCATGGTGGCAGGTACCTGTAACCCCAGCTACTTGGGAGGTTGAGGCAGGAGAATCGCTTAATCCAGGAGGTAGAGTTTGCAGTGAGCTGAGATCATGCCACTGAAGTCCATCCTGGGTGACAGAGCAAGACTCTGTCTCAAAAACATTCTCTATAACGCCAATTCTCAGCTCCAGCCAACTTAAACCATCAATGAGCAAAACGAGTTTGACTTGACCACTGGTAAATATTGGAGAGGTATTCAGAGTTCTTAGACACCCAATTCTGCAACTTATTCTGTAGTTCCAGGCTTAGAACTCGTCTTGGTTCAAAGCAAATCCCTTTATTTCAAATGCATTACCAAATGAGATCCAACTCAACAATTTATTCTACTATTTTGCAGTGCTCACCCATACTCATACTCCAGTTGAAACAGCCTATTATCTGTTTTCTTAAGATACCTTTTCACTTGTTTCCTTGCATCATGCCTTTATACTTTCTGTTCCTTTTATTATGAACTTCTCCTCCCTTTCTGTTGCAATGGATTCTTGCCCATTCTTCAAAAAAAATAAAAATAAACCCTTTTTAGTGAAAATGGGATGTCCGAGATCTTCCATCACCTGTACAAGTAGGTGGAATTGTGTAGGTTCCATATTCTCAGTGTATTTTCATGACACATATGTAGGCTATATTTCATATAGAATTCTTAGAAATTCTCTTTGAGCATACAAATCCCCCCTGACACTAGCTAATTAACTTTTTTTCTCCTTACAGGGAAAGTGATACTGATACTATAAACTTTTTTTTTTCTAAAAATGATACGTTAAAAGTTACACGCCTTTTTCTTTTGAGACAGGATCATACTATGTTGCCCAAGTAGGTCTCGAAGTCCTAGGCTCAGAAGTCCTCCCCTGGCTATGGGCCTTTTAAATTCTGTGATGTATTTGCATGTTTGAGTGAGAATACACCTTACTCTGCTTACAGCTTTTGTGTTCTGGCCCTGTTGTCTCATACATTTAAATGTGCCTTTTCCTAATATATTGAGGGAGGAATCTATTCTTTCGTTTGGGTTCTAATAAAATATATTTTGGTCTAATTTTGGATGACTCTTTTACATGATTTCATGAATGAAAATAATTTCATAAATTGCAGAATAAGCCAACAATTTCTGGATGAAGAAAGTTGTAGAACATGACAAAAGAAGGGACTTCTATTCCATTGTTGGAAGAGACAGTCTGGAAATCCGCCACAGAGGCTGAGACATATTCCCTTACTTATTTTTAATATCCTTCTCAAGGGCAAGAAATACCACTCCAAGGCTCATAATAGTTTAGGTAGGTGAACTTTCCACCCTCAGGCAAAATGTTGAAATATGAATACACACATAAGCATATACTTTAGGCATACATAACAGGAATTATAGGTAAAACCATTTGATCAGCCTCTACTTTTTCATCTGTCTTGGAAGGAGTTAAACATAATTTAATTTCATGGGCATATAAAATACATTTTATTCATATATATTTTTACTTGTATGTATCAGGATAGGCTATATAGGCTGGAATGACAAACTCCAAAGCACAGGAATTTAAAATGAAAAAGGCCTATTTATCACAGGTATACAGACCAGTGTTGTGGTTCTCTCATCATAGTTACTCAAGGACCCAGGTAGAAGGAGCAGTCACAATTCCAAATAGTAACTTAGAGATCGAAAATTCTCACAATTGCAGATTCCCCTAGGAAGTGACACACTTTACCTCCACTCACAATGTATTATTGTTTCCCTAAGCCCACTCAACCATAATCAGACCAGGGAGTGCAGTCCTACTATAGGCCCAGAAAGAAAGGGGGACAAATATTTAGCCAAAGGACTAATGACAACCTCATGGCTTTATTTCTCAAATACACATGTGTTAAAGCTTTATAATAACCACATTCTCATAATTGTTCTTCATAATATTCAAAGAAATAAATAAACTCACCTGAAGTAGGTTGGAATCTCCTTTCGTTTCAAGTAAATCCTGAGTTACCAGAAGATGCTCGCTTTTCTCACAGCTCTCTTGGCTGATGAGCGTGTCCGCATAGTTGGGCTGGGGGAAAATCAGGTGGCTCTTCCGCGAGTCCGCAGTGAGGGAGACCTCGTGGGAATAGGTCTGCAGGAAAGCCCGCACCCCGTCCACGCCCACAAAGTGCGAGCCGGGCACGCTCGCTAAGCCGCCTCCCGAAGCCTGCAGCAGACGTGATTTGTGCCAGCGCCGAAGCCTGAGCGCCAGCAGCACGATGACAAAGGCCAGGAAGACGCAGGAGACCGCGGCCACCGCCACCACCAGGTACAGAGTGAGGTCCGAATCGTTGGGTTTGGCGGAGGGCTCGAGGCTGCCCAGATCGGCCAGGAGGTCGGGGATCCTGTCTGCCACGGCCACGGTGAGCGTGACAGTGGCGGAGAGAGGGGGCTGGCCGTGGTCCTGGACGGCCACCACGAGGCTCTGCTTGAGCGCGTCTCTGTCCAGCAGGGCTCGCGCCGTGCGCACCTCGCCCGTGTGCAGCCCCACCGCGAAGAGTCCTGGCTCGCTGGCCTTGAGCAGGTGGTAAGACAGCCAGGCGTTCTGGCCCGAGTCTCTGTCCACCGCCACCACCTTGGTCACCAGGTAGCCGGGCTCTGCGGAGCGGGGCGCCAGCTCCACGCCGGTGGAACCATCTGTGGGGATGGCGGGGTACAGGATCTCGGGCGCATTGTCGTTCTGGTCCAGCACGAACAGGTTCAGCGACACGTTGCTGCTGAGTGGAGGGTTCCCGCTGTCGCTGGCTGTCACCAGTAGTTTCAAGTCTCTAAATTGCTCGTAGTCGAAGGATCGCAGCGCATATAGGACGCCAGTGTTGGAGTTGATGGAGACGTAGGAGGACAGGGGCGCCCCCTGGAGGGTGTCCTCGGTCAATGCATAAGTGATGTGGGCGTTGTCGTTGCTATCTGGGTCCTGGGCCGTCACTGAGAAGATGGAGGCTCCTCTGGGGTTGTTTTCTGGAATGTAGGCGGAGTAGGATAAGTGAGGGAAGGTGGGTGGGTTGTCATTGATGTCAATCACATTCAAGATGATGTGAGTTTCTGTGGACAGTGGCGGGCTTCCCCCATCTGAGGCTCTCAGACTGATGTTATATTCTGACATTTGTTCGCGGTCTAGGGATGTGGCCGTCACTAAGCGGTAATATTGGTCTATTGATTTTTCTAACTTAAATGGCAGATTTCCCAGGACAAAAACTGCAACCTGCCCATTCTGCCCAGAATCTCGGTCATGCACATCGATAAGAGCAATTTCTCTTCCAACGGTGCCCTCTTCTGGGACTGAGCCTGTGAGAGACGTAATTGTAATTTCTGGAGCATTGTCATTCACATCCAGAACCGTGAGTAGAATCTTGGCTCTTGAAAGAAGACCTGGTCCATCCTGTGCTTCAATTTTAATTTCATAGAACATGGCATCCTCATAATCTAGATTTTTTAATATTGATACTTCTCCACTCACTGAGTTGAGATGGAAAATCTCAGCGATTTTCCCAGGCATTTTATCTAGAATATAAGACACTTGAGCGTTGAATCCCTCATCAGGGTCAGTAGCATTCACTGTGAGCAGCCGGGTACCCACAGGCACGTTCTCCCAAACACTTACACGGTACTCAGACTGAGTAAACATTGGTGGGTTGTCATTTGCATCCAGGACTATCACTTGGATGTGCAAGTTGCCAGAGTGGACAGGGTCGCCACCATCAGAGGCAACCAGGACAAGCTGGTGAATTTCTTTTTTCTCACGGTCCAGGGCCTGCTCCAGCACCAGCTCTGGATACTTGGCCCCCTCAGAGACGCTATTCACAGCCAGAGAGAAGTAGTCATTAGGGCTAAGCTTGTAGTTCTGCAGGGAGTTCATGCCTACATCTGGGTCAAAAGCAGTTTTAAGTGGAAATCGGGTTCCAGGAACCGTTAGTTCACCAATTTTTATTTCCAATTCCTCTGTTGGGAAATTAGGAGCATTATCATTAATATCTTTAATTTCTATTTCTACTTCAAAAATTTTCAATTTATCCTCAACCAGGATGTTAAATTTTACCAGACACAGTGGGATCTGAGCGCAGAGCTCCTCCCGGTCTATCCTCTCCGCGGTGACCAAGCTGCCGCTTCGCGGATTCAGAGAGAAAAACTGCGTCCTACCTCTGGAGACGATGCGGACTCCGCGCTCAGCCAGCTCCCGGGGCTTTAACCCCAGGTCTTTAGCGATGCTGCCCACGAAGGAACCTTTATCTTGCTCCTCAGACACCGAGTAGCGGATCTGACCGGATCCTGTTTCACACAGCGTCCCCAGAAGCGCGCACAGCAGGGCCAGTCCTCTGCCATTTCGGAAACTCAGGCATTTGGTCATTTCCTTTTCGGGGAATAGCTTTCTCTGAATTCGGTTCCAGTTTCCCACGACGGACTCCAATCTTATTTTCTCAAGAAACGAAGTATTTTATGGGCCTAATTCACAGGTCAAACCGCTCGTTGACTAAGAGGTGAGGTTGGCAGCCGCCTCGGATTTTCTGAGTCTAATTTGCTGGTTCTTTGCATTGCAGGAGCAAGGAAATGGTGGACTAGTTCTCCAGCTGCGTTCTCCTTCTTGAGTGGTCAACAGCGACACTAAGAGGCCTAACCGTTTACTGCATCCTCTCATACAAACAGATGATTATTTTTGAGTTATCCAAGACCTGAAATCCTTCTTCTCAGAGATAAGAGGACTAGTGTTGATTGAACATAATTGAATTGATATATGTTAAACAGTGTGGCCTCAAGTTATCTTTCTTGGGAATCCATGCACTAACCTTAATGCCACCAATATTGCTTCAGACATAGTGGAGTTAACTGTTTTGAACTGTTCAGTTTAAGAAACACACAGTAACAAAGAACTGGCCCTAAGGACCAACACAACTATTAAAAGACATGACCACCACTTGTTCTTCAACCACTGAATCTGGATAATGTGTTTATTGTTATACTTACTACATTTATCAGGGTTATTTGATATCTTTCACCTTTCCCTCTCTATACTTTTAACTCTCTAAGAGCTGAGAGAAGGAAAAGAAGAAAAGAAGCACACAAAAATATCAGCCATATTTATACATTATATTTCTTTAAGTTTGTTCTTGGTGACCTGATAACTTAGTTTCAACATTTGTTGTTATTTAATATTCATTAAACAAATACATAATTAGGTGTCAGACAATATGTTTAGGGATTTAAGGTGAACAATATAGACACAGTCACTTCCTTCACAGAGATTATAAGGATATAAAAGCAAACAGGGAATTGTAGCGTACTGAGATAATTACCATAGTGGGAAAAGCCAAGCGGGTTAGGGGGGCCTTCAATTGGGCCTTTAAGGTTAGCAAAGGCTTTCCCAGGAAACATGAGAGGAGTGGATCAGTGAAAAGGCCTGGATGTGGGAGAGAACAGCATGACAATGCCTAGATGTGAGAGCGAATTCACAGCCCCTCAGGGTACTGAAAGAAGTTCGCTTTATTTAAATCTAGACTGTAAGGATGTTTTTTCAAAACCCACTACTAAAACCAGTAGAAATAAGCTTTTATGTTCCAGAATCTCTTTCTCTATAAGTTTCCAAGCACAGAAATATAAACACATATATTTGTCATTTCAATCATGATGCATGACATATCTATGCATAAGGCATTTATTCTTGTGGAGTTACTACACACACTAAAAATAACTGCTTTAATTATCCTGTTTATACTTTATTATTCACTTACAAGTAAAGATATTGTGACATATTATGCCACAGTGAGTTCCAATTTTACTCATAGAGAATTATGTAATAGTAACCAAAACAACACATTGTCTCAGAAAAGATGCAACATAAAGAATCACGGCACTTTGAGAGATACGGTGTCATTCAATAAAAGGCTCAATTGGTACATGATAATTTCCAAATAAAAATTAAAAATTATGCCATTTACATAGAACATTAGTGTGTTTATTGTTCTCTGTTATTAAATACATAACCAACATACAATAGGAAGAGGAATGGGAAAAGAAAATTGTTCAGAGGGGCATTGGGATTGGGTGAGGGATTGGGAACATTTCTAGCAGCTACTGTGAGTAGAAACCTTGAGAAGAGAGATGTATACAAAAGATGGTTCTGGACAATTGTATGATATGAATCTTTTGTATCTTTTCTTTAAGCAAAACTATATTGAGGATATATATTATTTTAAAGATTAAAAGGCACTATGGTTCCCACATATGAGAAAGATAAAAAAAGGAGAAACCTGTTTATTACTACTTTACAACTTTATTATAGAGCAGATGATAAATCAGTCACTTCTTCAAGAAGCACATAGCTTAGAGACTAATGTGATTTTTAAAACTAAGCCAAAATAAAATGACATAAATTCCGGAAACACTGTAAGGAATGTATATTTCTAAATTTCCATATTTTTAACAGGGAAGGGCATGCAAGTTAAGGAAAACAATTTTGCTGTCAAACTGAGAGAAATATATTAAGACTGAATGAGAAAGAATTAGCCGACTAAGGTGTTTCACTGTTCATATACAGATTCAAATATAAAGTAAAAGTCATATTTTAAAAGAAGAAAGGACTTGAGCAAACATAAACTCCAATCTTTATATTTTTAACAAAGAAAAAAATTGTTGATCCGGGTGGATGAGATGATTTGCCCAGGGGTGAAGAAGAAAGTGTAAGAGACCAGATACCCTAGTCACTCAATGCAGTGCTCTTTGGATAATCATCTATTAACTCCTGGTTTACATTCATTGCACAACGATTCTCGTGTCTCTTCTTCCTCTTACAGCCTGTGAACACTAAGACCTACCAAGAAATAATTCACCAAGGCTCACTTCCTACAACTTGACTCTGCCCTCAAGGAAATACGGGGAACAAAATAGATATAGTAAACAAGTGAATTACTTCAGCAAACTAGCTTGTACGGATGTTGTGAAAAGATAGATTACCTGAGAAGACGTTTCTTCCCTTTCATCTTCGAGTAGAGATTGAGGTGCTGATAAAAAATCCTTTTTCTCACAGCTCTCCTGGCTGATGAGCGTGTCAGCGTAGTTGGGCTGGGGGAAGATCAGGTGACTCTTCCGCGAGTCCGCAGTGAGAGAGACCTCGTGGGAATAGGTCTGCAGGAAAGCCCGCACCCCATTCACGCCCACAAAGTGGGAGCTGGTCATGCCTGTGAAGCTGCCTCCTGAAGCCTGCATCAGGCGTGATTTGTGCCAGCGCCGAAGCCTGAGCGCCAGCAGCACGATGACAAAGGCCAGGAAGACGCAGGAGACCGCAGCCACCGCCACCACCAGGTATAGAGTGAGGTCCGAATCGTTGGGTTTGGCGGAGGGCTCGAGGCTGCCCAGATCGGCCAGGAGGTCGGGGATCCTGTCTGCCACGGCCACGGTGAGCGTGACAGTGGCGGAGAGAGGGGGCTGGCCGTGGTCCTGGACGGCCACCACGAGGCTCTGCTTGAGCGCGTCTCTGTCCAGCAGGGCTCGCGCCGTGCGCACCTCGCCCGTGTGCAGCCCCACCGCGAAGAGTCCTGGCTCGCTGGCCTTGAGCAGGTGGTAAGACAGCCAGGCGTTCTGGCCCGAGTCTCTGTCCACCGCCACCACCTTGGTCACCAGGTAGCCGGGCTCTGCGGAGCGGGGCGCCAGCTCCACGCCGGTGGAACCATCTGTGGGGATGGCGGGGTACAGGATCTCGGGCGCATTGTCGTTCTGGTCCAGCACGAACAGGCTTACTGATACATTGCTACTGAGTGGAGGGTTCCCGCTGTCCCGCGCCATCACCCACAGTTGCAAGTCTCGAAACTGCTCGTAATCAAAGGAGCGCAGTGCATAGAGGACTCCAGTGTCAGAGTTGATAGAGATGTAAGAGGATAAGGGTGCCCCCTGAACAGTGTCCTCCGCGAAAGAGTAAGTTACATGAGCATTGTCGTTGCTGTCGGGGTCATGGGCCGTCACTGAGAAGACAGAGGCTCCTCTGGGGTTGTTTTCAGGAATGTAGGCGGAGTAGGATGTGCGGGAGAAGGTGGGTGCGTTGTCGTTGATGTCTGCCACCTGGAGCAAAACGTGAGCATCCGTGGACAGGGAGGGGTTCCCTCCATCTTTAGCGGTTAGAGTGATGTTGTAAAAGGAAAACTGTTCCCTGTCAAGGGCTCTGGTTGTAACCAGTCGGTAGTAATTGTCCACTGACTTTTCTAACTTAAAGGGAAGATTCTCAGGGAGTGAACAGGTGATGAATGCATTCTGCCCAGAGTCTCTATCATGTACATTAAAAAGCCCAATTACGGTTCCTGGAGGAGAGTCTTCAGAAACTGAGCTAGTAGCAGATGTTATGTAAAATTCTGGGGCATTGTCATTCACGTCCAGAACCGTAATGATAACCTTCGTTCTGGTTAGAAGGCCCGGACCATCCTGAGCTTCAATATCAATTTCATGGAATGTAGCATCCTCATAATCTAGATCTTTTATGATTGTCAGATCTCCAGATGTTGACTTAAGCTCAAATACCTCTGAGGTTTCTCCAGGGCTTTTCTCTAGAAAATATGCCACTTGAGCGTTGTAGCCCTCATCTGCGTCAGTGGCGGTCACCGTGAGTATCCGGGTGTCCACGGGCGTATTCTCGGGAACGCTTATGCGGTACTCGGGCTGTGTAAAAACAGGCGCGTTGTCGTTCACATCCAGGATCTTCACGCAGATGCGGGAGGTGCCAGATAGCACTGGGTCACCCCCATCAGAAGCCACGAGAACGAGGTGGTGAACAGCCTCTTCCTCGCGGTCCAGAGCGCGCTCCAGCACCAGTTCTGGGTACTTGTTCCCATCAACTCCGCTTCGCACGTCCAGGGAGAAGTGATCATTTAGGTTGAGTGCATACTTCTGAAGGGCGTTCTCACCTACGTCCGCATCATGCGCATTCTTAAGAGGAATCCGGAATCCTGGCGTAGTGGTTTCACTGATTTTTAGCTCCAGTTCCTCTACTCCAAAGCGAGGGGCATTATCGTTAATATCTGTTATTTCCACCTCTACTGAATAAATAGTCAATTTGTCCTCCAGCAGGATGTTAAAATTCAACAGACACGGTGCGCTCTGAGCGCAGAGCTCCTCCCGGTCTATCCTGCTCGCAGTGACCAAGCTGCCGCTTCGCGGGTTCAGAGCAAAGAGCTGGGTCCTACCTCTGGAGACGATGCGGACTCCCCGCTCTGCCAGTGCCAGGGGCTCCAAACCCAAGTCCTTGGCGATGTTGCCTACGAAGGAGCCTCTGTCGATCTCTTCTGGCACAGAATAGCGAATCTGCCCAGCCCTGGCCTCCCACAGGGTCGCCAAAAGGAAGCACAGCAGGACCAGTTTTCTGCAGTGTGGCAACTTTTGCAGAGCCGCCATTTCCTTCCTGTCGCAGTTTTCTCCGAGTCAACTTCCAGCATTCAGTGCGGATTCCAATCTTTATTCCTCAGGCTGTGAGATGACCAGCATTCACAGGACCCAGGTCCCTATGGAGACAAATGGTGGGCTGTTCGACTGAATTTATTTGGTGCCCTGAAGCTTTAGGGCCAAACCTCCAGCCTGTTGTGCTGTGGGAGGCGTGTTGCTGGATTGGTTGGCTTTGCTGCTTTTTACTCCTTAGGTGGTCAACAGCGACGCTCAGAGGCCTAAATAATTTCTGCACCTGCTCGGGAAAACTTAAGTTACTTCTTGTTTGTTTGCCTTTGTTGACTTTCAAGGTGCTTTAAAGAATCTTACAGCTCTAAGATACCGTAGAATTAGATCTTTCAAAACAGGAATTTTTTAATCAGGATTAATAAGACTGGTATAAATGAACATGACCTTGATAATAGTTGCTAGGAAAGTATAATTGACTGCTCAAGGCATTAATCAATGCCACCACTGCTCTTGCTACAAACATCTTCCATCTCTTATTGTATAATCAGAAGCAGTAAGATCAATTAAGAAACGTTAGCTACATTTTCTTCTAAGGTTATATATTTTGAACTTTTGTGGTTGATGGCTTAGCATTTACCTTCAAAATCTGCCTTTAAATTATTGAATCATCAGACACTTAGTTGGGTACATGTGCCTCCCACTTTGCATGACTGGGGCTGGAGATAGAAATGGTGAACATGATAAACACAGGCCCTGGTCTCAAGCATGAAGGTTGGAGGAGGACATAAGAAAGTAAAGAGAGTGTAATAGAGTAATGAGAGTGTAATAGAATAAAGTAAAGAGAGTGTAATTGCCATGATATGAGGTAGGAAACACTGGGTGATGGAGAAATACCTGGGAAGGGTATCCAGTCTAGATTTGGAGTCAGAAAAGTCTTTTTGAGGGCATGATTGAAGCTGAATCCTAAAAAGTAGGATTGAATCAAGAAAAAGGCTGAAGAATTGTTCTAGAACCTCAGAATAAATGCTTGAAGGTGAGAGACAGCATGGAACATTACAGAAATGGAAAGCAGATCTATTTGATAAAGCTAGAGTTGGAAGGGGATTTTGGAATCAGTCACTCAAAATTGTTTGAGGTTGTCAAGTTCTTTTTCTGATATTCATTTTCCAAGGGTGTAAAATACAATGCAGTGGATGTCTTCTTACTCCTGTTTTATCTTTATCATTTTGACCATTGTCAAGCATACAATTCCGTGACATTAAGTACATTCAAATTACATTCTGGTGTGATCATTACCACCATCCACCTCCAGAGCTTTTTCATCCTCCCCAACTGAAACTCTCTACTTATTAAATAGTAACTCCCCATTGCCTTTCACCCAGTCCCTGGCAGCTACCATTCTACCTTTTGCTCTATGAGTTTGACTAATCTAGGAACTTCATATATGAGGAATTGTACAGTATTTGTCATTTTTTGACAGGTTTATTTCACTTGACAACATGTCTTTGAAGTTCGTCCATATTGTAGCATGTAACAGAATTCCCTTCCTTTTTAAGGCTGATTAATAGTCCATTGTATTTGTGAACCACTTTTTGTTTACCCATTCATCTGTCAATGGACACTTGGGTTACTTCCACTTTTCAACTATTGTGACTAATGCTGCCATAAACATAGGTGTACAAATATCTGTTGAAGTCCCTACTTTCACTTCTTTTGGGTAATAACCAGAGTGGAATTGCTGGATTATATGGTAATCCTATGTTTAAATTTTTGAGGAATCACCATACCATTTTCCACAGCAGTTGTATCATTTTATATTCACCAGCAATGCACAAGAATTCCAATTTCTCCATATTCTTGTTAACACTTATTTTCTTTTCTTTTATGACAGCAATTCTAATGAATGTGAAGTAGTATCTCATTACGGTTTTGATTTGCATTTCCCTAATGACTAGTGATGTTGAACATATGACTAGTGATGTTGAACATCTTTTCACATGGTTTTGGCCATTTGTATATCATCTTTGGAGAAATGTCTATTCAAGTCCTTTGCTCATTTTAACATCCAATTGTTTGGGAGGTTTTGTTGTTGAATTGTGGGAGTTCTTTATTCTGGATATCCATTCTTAGATATATGATTTGGAAACATTTTCTCTCATTCTGTGGGCTGCCTTTTCACTCTATTGATATTGTTCTTTGCTGCACATAGTTTTTAATTGTGATAAAGTCCAGTATACCTTTTTTTTTCTTTTGTTGCTTGTGCTTTTGGTGTCATATCCAAGAAATCATTGCCAAAATCAATGTTATGAAGGTTTCATCCTGTTTTCTTCTGAGAGTTGCATAGTTTTAGTTCTTAAACGTAATAGCTAAAAGGGTCTTATTGCTTCTGAATATTGCTTCTTTGATCCATTTTGAATTAATTTTTGTAAGTGGTATAAGTGGAATTGCCCATTTCTGGTGACCCTTTAGTCTGTTTGCCTTTTGACTCCTTCCTTGTTGAAATTTTCTCATTTTTACTTTCATCCATTCCTCTTAGAAGACTGAAGAAAAATGTATTGGAAATAATTGATACCAACCATGTTTTCTTGTAGAGTTACTATGGTATATCTTGCTTTGGTTTTTTAATTTTTATTTTTGTGTTTGTGTTTGTTTTATTTTATAGAGGTTGGGTCTTGTTATACTGCCCAGGCTGGATTCAAACTCCTGGGCTCAAGCAATCCTACTGCCTCAGCCTACTCAATAGCTGGGATTATAGATATGCCATTGTGCCTGGCTCTCTTAAATGAGTCCTAACATTAGACTTGACAGAATTTTCATTTTCTCCCCACTGGTTTTACTACAACATTTTTTGTCTGCTTCTGTTACTTCATCCTCAGAATTCTTCCATGGTTGCATTTCAAAAATGTATCTCTTTGTTATTTTTTGCATCATTTTATTTTAGTATATACTCATTATGTGTTTTTTATCTTCTTAAATGGCAAGCTAAATTCATGTATTTTAAAGAATTTTGGCCGGGCGGGGTGGCTCAAGCCTGTAATCCCAGCACTTTGGGAGGCTGAGACGGGCGGATCACGAGGTCAGGAGATTGAGACCATCCTGGCTAACACAGTGAAACCCTGTCTCTACTAAAAAAATACAAAAAACTAGCCGGGTGCGGTGGCAGGCGCCTGTAGTCCCAGTTACTTGGGAGGCTGAGGCAGGAGAATGGCGTGAACCTGGGAGGCGGAGCTTGCAGTGAGCTGAGATCCAGCCACTGCACTCCAGCCTGGGCGACAGAGCGAGACTTTGTCTCAACAAAAAAAAAAAAAAAAAAAAAAGAATTTTGTTTGTTTTTTTAAAAAAAATATTGCATTTGTCTATAAACTTACTCCTAATTAGTTTTAGCTGCATCTCACAATTTTTAATAAATAATATTTAAATCCTTCTCTTCTGAGTAGTTGTCATTGTCATTGTGATTTTTGAAATCCAAGAGTTATTTAAGGGTGTGGATGTAAATATCCAAACTTTTTCCCCCTTTTCTATTTTTAAATGTTTGCTTTGTGATTTAAGTATGTGTTGTAAGGCAAGTATATTATTGGTACTTTGGAATTCGCTGAACCCTTTTTTGTAATGACTAGATAATAAACTTGTAGATTGTCTATCTGTTCAAGGATGACTATTCCATATTTGTTGTGTGTACAACAGATCTATTAGAATCCTAATAGATCAACCTTATAAATTATGTTGTTTAGATCTTCTGTATATTAACGAACTTTCTCCCTGTAGGGTCTATTATTTCTTATGGAATTATGTTAAAATATTCTGGTATTTTCTAAGCTACATTTTTTGGTAATAGAAGCTCATATTTTTATATTCTTTTGATCATCTGTTCTTTTTACAACTATAATCAGTTCATTTTTTAAAATCACATTTTGTGTTTGTTACCTTAAATACAACTTTGTTGTTATATTAACATGACTGCTTTCTTTTTTTGTGTGCATACATATATATTTAGTTTTACTGTTTCAGTGTATTTTTAAGTATATGTATTATTAGAATATGGATTTTAAAAATCAACTAATTTTGTAATATTTGTCCTTTAATAGGTAAATGTAGCTCACTTGTATATACGCAGAAAAAAGTTATGATTATAAGAGCTGAGAAAGTCCAGAACTGAGATAACTTAGCTATCAATTGAGAGTATACTCTTGGTACCAAGCAAAAAATAAAAATAAAAATGCAACAGACACACAGCAAGAATGAGAGAAAGTCTTCAATGGTTATCAGAGAAAAAACAGAGATTACCTTAAAAGATAATAGTTTGTTGAAAGTTTCTTACTAGCAACAATAAATTCTACGAGACATGTGTGTTTTGAAATTTTGGTTTGTATATTTATTTTTAGTGGAAGAGCTCTGTTTATTTTCAGTTTTAGTTTGTTTTTCTTTTCTACACTATGTCCCTGTCTCCTTCCCTCCTGGGTTCAGTGCTCATTTATAATGGTTTTGAAATAAATAATTTCTATCTGACCTCAGGTCCCAGGCCATAACTGGGTCTCTTAATGACGCTTTAATGATACCCAGCAGTGATATTCTGGATACCACAGCTCACATGAGAGATACTTGGTGTTCGCTGTCTCTATCCAGCATCCGTGTCTGTCTCTTTCTCTCAGTCTACACAGCTTACCAAGAAAGCTATAACCACAGGAATTGGGCGGCAGCTTCTATTTTTATTTATTTATTTATTTACTTATTTAACATGATGTGGCTCTGTTGCCCAGGCTGGAGTGCAGTGGCGCCATCGCGGTTCGCTGAAGCCTTGACTTCCTGGGCTCAAGCGATCCCGCCACGTCAGCACCTGCGCCGCCTGCCCCGCCCGGCCTCGGCCCGCCCCGCCCCTCCCCGCCTCGCCCCGCCTCGCCCCGCCCCGCGTAGCTGGGACTACAGTTGCAGGCCACCGTGTCCGGCTGGTCTTGAACTCCAGGGCTCCAGGGATCTTTCCGCCTCAGCCTCTCAAATTGTTGGAAATACAGACGTGAGCCACTGCGCCCAGCTAGGCAGCATGTTCATGCATCTTTCTCTTCCTTTTTAACCAGCTGAAGGGCCTCATTGCTTGTTTTGGATTCAGGCAGTAAGCCTGGTCCAGGTCATTTATCTAGTCTGAAGCACTTCTGTCCCTATTACATTGCTGGAGGCAGTTTCCTAACCTTCAATTTCTTTTTTTTTTTTTGAGACGGAGTCTCGCTCTGTCACCCAGGCTGGAGTGCAGTGGCCGGATCTCAGCTCACTGCAAGCTCCGCCTCCCGGGTTTACGCCATTCTCCGGCCTCAGCCTCCCGAGTAGCTGGGACTACAGGCGCCCGCCACCTCGCCCGGCTAGTTTTTTGTATTTCTTAATAGAGACGGGGTTTCACCGTGTTAGCCAGGATGGTCTCGATCTCCTGACCTCGTGATCCGCCCGTCTCGGCCTCCCAAAGTGCTGGGATTACAGGCTTGAGCCACCGCGCCCGGCCCAATTTCTTCTTTTAAGTCCAAGACTGTAACTCACATGGCTTCAGACCAGCTAACCACTTTGCTTTTGCTTTCCTCTTATATTTTATGTATCTCTGTATTTTATTGGAGCAGAGTAAATATAAAAAAGCATGGACCTACTCCCCGACCATGCTTTTTTTTTCTTCTGAAAAGTTAACACACATTAAAGTAGGATGTACACTTGATTTTTGTTAGTTGATTTCATTACAGGTATAATGTATAAGTCAGGAGGCTTCAAAGCTGTTTCTCAAGTTGCACGATAAATTTTCTGTTGTTCACTTTGTTACTTCATAAATTACTTAAATAGATGTATTCTTCAGTACAGGCACCACTGCTCACACCTGTAATATCAGCACTTTGGGAGGCTGAGGTGGGAGGATCACTTAAGCCCAGGAGGTAGTGGCTGCAGTGAGCCATGATCACGCCACTGCACTCCAGCAAGACCCTGTCTCAAAACTAAAAAATATCTGAAAATAAAGATAGAATAAAGGGCTAAAATATTCAACAATAATTTAAAATTGCAGTTTATATAGATCCCTATAATCTTATATGAACACAATTAAAAATACTACTTTAGACAATCTTCACCTCTTCAAATGTCCCCAAATAAAATATCACAGTGTCCTGACAGATGACGTCTACATTAAATTCCGGGGTAAATTAGCAGGTATTTATAACAAGAAAATTTGAAAATAGTATTAGACATTTAAATATTGGTGAGCCTTTTCTAATCAAACCCTTTAACCCAGAGGCAAGTAAGAAAATGTTAGAAGCTAAATCACCCTGTTTCTAATGCAGTGCTCCTTCCAGACAGAGATGGCATCTCACACATACCTTCAACCCAACCACCTACATTATGATCACAGTCTCCTTTTCAATGCAAGAACAATTATAAATATACCTGCATATGAACGTGTAGACTCACTTAATCGTGATTTTCCAGGACTTGTAATAAAAAGCCACAAAGATACATGGGTTAGAAGAACTATCTGTAGTAAAGAGTGAACGCAAGTAAATTAAATCAAGAATTATTTTTCTCTAGATAGCTTATACATTAATCACAAAAGTTTACCTGAGAAAACGGTTCCTTTTTGTCTTCAAGTAAAGACTGGGGTGCTGATAGAAAATCCTTTTTCTCACAGCTCTCCTGGCTGATGAGCGTGTCCGCATAGTTGGGCTGGGGGAAAATCAGGTGGCTCTTCCGCGAGTCCGCAGTGAGGGAGACCTCGTGGGAATAGGTCTGCAGGAAAGCCCGCACCCCGTCCACGCCCACAAAGTGCGAGCCGGGCACTAAGCCGCCTCCCGAAGCCTGCAGCAGACGTGACTTGTGCCAGCGCCGAAGCCTGAGCGCCAGCAGCACGATGACAAAGGCCAGGAAGACGCAGGAGACCGCGGCCACCGCCACCACCAGGTACAGAGTGAGGTCCGAATCGTTGGGTTTGGCGGAGGGCTCGAGGCTGCCCAGATCGGCCAGGATGTCGGGGATCCTGTCTGCCACGGCCACGGTAAGCGTGACAGTGGCGGAGAGAGGGGGCTGGCCGTGGTCCTGGACGGCCACCACAAGGCTCTGCTTGAGCGCGTCTCTGTCCAGCAGGGCTCGCGCCGTGCGCACCTCGCCCGTGTGCAGCCCCACCGCGAAGAGTCCCGGTTCGCTGGCCTTGAGCAGGCGGTAGGATAGCCAAGCGTTCTGGCCCGAGTCTCTGTCCACTGCCACCACCTTGGTCACCAGGTAGCCGGGCTCTGCGGAGCGGGGCGCTAGCTCCACTCCTGTGGAACCATCTGTGGGGAGGGCGGGGTACAGGATCTCGGGCGGGTTGTCGTTCTGGTCCAGCACGAACAGGTTCAGCGACACGTTGCTGCTGAGGGGCGGGTCCCCACTGTCCTGCGCCATCACTTTCAGTTGCAAGTCCCGGAACTGCTCGTAGTCGAAGGATCGCAGCGCATACAGGACCCCAGTGTCGGAGTTGATGGAGACGTAGGCAGATAGGGGTGCTCCCTGGATGGTGTCCTCTATTAGGGAGTAAGCGATTTGTGCATTCTCATTGCTGTCCGAGTCGTGGGCCCTCACAGAGAAGATGGAGGCTCCTCTGGGGTTATTTTCGGGAATGTAGGCAGAGTAGGAGTCCTGATGGAAGACTGGGGAGTTGTCATTGATATCTGTCACTAGCAGTGAAATGTGAGTTTCAGTAGACAGAGCTGGAGTTCCTTGGTCTGTTGCTGTTACTGTGATGTTGTACCCAGAGATAAGTTCTCTGTCCAGTGTTCTTTCAGTCACTAAACGGTAATAATTATCAACTAACTTTTCCAATTTAAAGGGTAAATTTCCAGGAATGAAACATGTGGTGTAGCCATTGTCTCCTGAGTCCTGGTCATGCACACTGATAAGAGCAATTATGGTCCCAGGAGGAAAGTTTTCTGGAACTGCAGTGGTGACAGAGGTGATGGTCACTTCTGGGGCATTGTCATTTACATCCAAAACTTTGATCAGTACCTTAGCTCTAGTCATGAGCCCCGCACCATCCTGGGCTTGAACTTCCATTGAATAAATTTTGTATTCTTCGAAATCTAGTGGTTCTTTATTTGATATTTCTCCTGTGTAAGAATCTAAATGAAATATTTGGGCCACTCTGTGGTCTACATTGTGAAAGGAGTACGTTACTTTCCCATTAGATCCCTCATCAGGGTCGGTGGCATTTACCATGAGCAGTCGAGTGCCCAGTGGCACGTTTTCGGGGACATTCATATGGTATTGTGCCTGAGTAAATGCTGGAGGATTGTCATTTGCATCCACCACCTGAATGTAAATTCTGAGGGTCCCTGAACGGACTGGGTCACCCCCATCAGAAGCTGTGAGGATGAGGTGGTGGACAGCTTCTTCTTCTCTGTCTAGGGGACTCCGCAGCACCATCTCTGGATGTTGGGGCCCATCGGCTCCCTGTTGCACATCCAGGGAGAAATGAGGGTTAGAACTGAGTTGGTAGCTCTGGAGTGAGTTCACACCCACATCAAGGTCTTGTCCAAATGGCAATGAGATTCTGGTACCTGGAGTGGTTATTTCATTCATTTTAAACTCCAGTTCCTCTAACTGGAATTGGGGAGTGTTGTCATTAATATCAATTATTTCTACTTCAACAGGGAAAAGCTTCATTTTATCCTCAACAAGGATATTAAAACTCACGAGACATGGCATGCGCTGAGCGCAGAGCTCTTCCCGGTCTATCCTGCCCGCGGTGATCAAGCTGCCACTTCTAGGATTCAGAGCGAAAAGCGGCATCCTACCTCTGGAGATGATGCGGACTCCGCGATCTGCCAGCTCCTGGGGTTGTAGCCCTAGGTCCTTGGCAATGTTGCCCACGAAGGAACCTTTGTCTGTCTCTTCCGGCACTGAGTAGTGAATATTCCCAGCCCCAGCTTCCAACAGCAGCTCCAGAGAAAGACACAGAAGCATCAGCCTGCTGCAGCCGGTCAGCTTTTTCTGAATCTTCATGGCTCTCTCACTTCGTAGTTTTCTTCCAGTCCAGTACCAAGGGTATCGTTCCTGCTTTTCTGAGCTGAAATTAACCCAATTTTCAGGAGAATTCTCAGTGGAGAGTCATCCAGAAGTAGGATTTAGGCAGTCTTGGACAGTCTGTTTTCAATCTGGCGGTTATGGAGGTTCCAAGAGGCACAAGAGCTTTTTTTTCCCCCCTCCTCCTGAAGTGTGTGTACTGCCTGTATCTACCAGATTAGTGAACAGCGGCACCCAGAGTCCTAACCAGTTACTGCATTCCTAGAAAATACTTAAAACTTTCTCATTAACTTAATATTTTCTTAAGTTTTAGTCTATTGTCAAGGAAATCATTCTACAATATATGTATGAAAAGGAGAAACTATATGTTCACTTCCTTAAATGTGCCTAAATGTCACCAAATTGAAATATACAGGAGAATCTTAGTATTTTCATGCTATCTGCTTTCCTTGTTTGCTATTCAGGGAATGATAGTAAAAACCTAACATCACAATGAGGACAAAATCATCTCTCCACTTTTTCTGTAGTAAAGCTTGACCACTTGATAATTTCCCAGGCCACATAGAGCAGCTCTCCTTTGACTAGAGGATGAAAAGTCTTGGAGGGAAAGATAATCTTTTAGAATATAAGCTAGACTTTAAAAAATTGTACCATCCCATTTCCTTCCCATTACGATTTGAATATTTATCAGAAACCTTGGGATTTTGAAGGGTATGGTTTAACCATATCCTTATTTTTCCTCTTCTTTTTTTGAAGTGTCTTTGCATTATGTAGGTTTTAAAAAATTCTTAAGATTCACCCAAAGGTAATACATTTTGAAAAATAATAAAACTGGGCTCTTGGAATTTCATTGAAAAGTCACATGAATATATAATTTAGATTTCAAATTTCAGAGTCAAATTCTATGATATTATTCTTTACAGCTGAAAAGAAAAATGGTCTCATCTTTATTTTTAGATTGTCTCTTATAATATGTATTCCCCTGTAATTGTGCTTAATATTTTCTCCAAGAGAAGTTGGTTTTCTCCTAACAGTACTTTTTAACCAGTTAAGATGAGGATGTGGCCTTCTTTCTTTTAATCACTGCAGGATTAGCAAAGGGTTACTAATTAAAATGTCTCAGGCTTAGAGTGACTTACTTATCTTTACCCCAAAGTTAGAGAAGCATGCTATCCGCACTCCAGAGTCTGATATCTTCAGGAACAAATTGAGCGAGCCAACCCAATGACACCATGACTGAGAAAAGTTAAAAATAAGGAAAGAAAGAAAACAACGAAAGGTCTCAAGAATAGTTTTTGGAAAGAGAATTTTAGTTCTTATATAACTAAATCTACAGTTTCTCAGCTTCTCAAAGACAAGTATATGGAGCCAAAGAGTAGAAATTTAAAAATGCAATAAATCACCTTTGATACTGCAAGGAAGGAACTCTTTAACAGAGAACGTAACTTTCCAGAATACACATTAATAGGCACAAACTTTTCCCCAAAGAAACTGTGAGCTAATGAGGCAAATTAAAATATACATAAGAACTAGCAAGTAAACCTGTAGGGCTCCCTACTCTCAGCAACCAAAAACACGCAGGAGTGATTTATAAAAGGATGATAAGTATAAAATAAAAATGTTAAAATATCACACAAATACATTTGAATCAAATGTAACATTTAAAGCTTCATTGCTGGCCAGGCACAGTGGCTCATGCCTGCAATCCCAGCACTTTAGGAGGCCAAGGTGGGCAGATCACTTGAGGCCAGGAGTTTGAGACCAGCTTGATCAACATAGTGAACCCCGTTTCTACAAAAACAAAAACAAAACAAAACAAAGCTTCATAGCTGGCACTGCAGAGAATATCTGGTTGAAAGCTGTTTCTTGAGTTAATTTAAAGACATTAAGATTTTAAAAATACCTAAAGCCACACATACGTTGTAGGAACATGGCAAATTTCCTTCCTTTAAGTTGGAGACAACTCCATATCCAGGCTTGGACCAGAGATCTGGCTGAAAGCAGCCCCAGGCAATGGGGCTATAGAGGGCATTGCAGGTTCAGAAAGATGCCCAGAGTCACACTGAGGAGAAATAGCATGGAGATCAAGGCAAAGGCCATCCCAGGTTAAACTACAGCTGTTGGGTGCTGTCTGTTGCCTGCTGTTGGGTGCTGGGTGATTGCTGAGGTCTGGCAGCAACTCCTGCAAACTGTGAGCAGCAACCAGGTACAGCGTGATGATTCACCATTGAGCATGGTGACCAACAAACCTTGGCAGGTTGCATCTCTGTTACCCACAGTGACACAGCACGCATCTAGCTCGTGCACATCCCTAGTTTGAAGAGCCACATTAGCTGACCTGAAGCACGATAGGACAGTCAACCTTTGTGCCCCAGCTGGTGTCCACTTTGGTGATGGGATAGCTCAGTTGCATTGTGAGTGGTGCAGCATCAAAGAGGGCCCCACCTGGCTGTAACTCCTGGCGTAGTGTCCTTGCATTTTCACAATGGTCATCCACCATCACATGCAAGTTCAGGATGATACTGAGCAAGTTGAACCCTGGTCACTGGCCCGCAGAGTCAGCTCAAAGATAGTCTGCATGAACACCACAGCACTTTGCACTCACTGACATGCAGAATGACAGTGCCCACAGTGGCAGGTCACTGGTCAAGAAGAAACAGGAGGCATATGGGACCCTAAGTCAGGGTGGGGAGTGCTAAAGTATGTGATGGAGGTTCTGGGTAGTGTTTCCAGTCACCCAAAAGAAATAGGAGGCTTGTTGAAGAATGAGCATTTTTGTGGATGCCGATGATATGCAGGGTGATGCAGGAGAGGGACAGTTTGTCCTTGTTGGTGGTTCTGATGGTGACATTGTCCTTCAGGGTCTGCTACCAGTTTAGAATTCCATCTGTGAGTAGCTGACAAAGAATTACATCATAATTCTTGGAGGTGAATTGTTGGCCAGTATGATCATTTCTCTCTATAATAATTTTCATCTTTCATTTAAGGTCTCTTAGTCCTATTGTTTTGGTTAGGGCAACCACAGTTCTTACCTCTGATAGGACTAGACGCCAAACTGAAAGTCACCTGCACTGACTGCATTCATTTCAACCAGGACTCTGAAGTGGGCCCTCAAACTGCCTCCAGTCTTATATTCCATGCTGTAACTGTTACTCTTCAGAATCAAGTATTTCTGTCATTATTGGACAGGAAATATATTCTGTATGCCCTGTAAAATTGTGTAGAAAGATCAGGAGAACTCTATATTGAAGATATTGTCTAGGTCATTGGGGATCACCTGAAGAATGAAGAGGAGGAGGTGGTGGGCATGTTCTCCTGCAGGCTAACCCCACTTACACATTGCTCAATATCTGATGACTGGCATTGCCATCCAAGGCCTGTGTCTTGCCCTGAGCTGTTCTGCCCCCTCCCCATCACTAAATGGTGGCAGCTCTGCTCCTCTGGTTCAGGGTTTCTTTTTTTTTCCTTTTCTCTTTTCTTTTCTTTTCTTTTCTTTTCTAAGAGATGGGGTCTGGCTATGTTACTGAGGCTGGAATGCAGTGGCTATTCACAGTTGTGCTCATAGCGCACTGCAGCCTCTAGCTGGCATTAAGCAATCCTCCTGCCTCAGCCTCCTGAGTAACAGGGACCACAGGAGTGCCCCACTGCACAGGCTCAGGGATTCTTCAATAGCAGCAATTCAGAGTACATACTGCTGTAGTACTCTGCTTTACTTCTAGGGGAAGAGGAGATGGCTATTAAAATTAATCTGATATATTTGTACAGAGTTACTGCCAGTGTTCAAAATCTACTGCGGGCTTAAGAGTAAAAGTTCCTCTTATTAAGATGTTTTCCAGAATTTCCAAAACGTGTGCTAAAAGCCATTTTATTTATATCCAAGATGCATACGTTTGTATGAAAAACATTTATATGATTTTTCAGTACCTTCAAATTCAAATGGCCGAGGGTCTTCCTTGGGCATAACTGCTAGATCTATCCTGTCATTCTCAAGCTCCTCTCTGGCTCATTCTCCAGCTGTATATAAAGAGAGGCTTCTCAGCACTTACCCGTAGTTTTTCCCGTCACCGAGACACAGATCTTCTGAGAGATTACCAACCTTTCAACCCCTAGCCTTCTCTTCCAGAATCTTACAGCGTATCAGCTACGTAGAATAAAGACCTCAGGCAGGGAAACAGCGATTCCTGCACTCCTCACACCTTCCTTATGGGGGACTTCTTCCTCTGTTTCTTCTTCTTGCTGGTACTCAGATCCGAATACCTCTCTCTACCGTTGCTCCCTGCTTCCTGCCCCCTGCGATGCTCAGGAATAAAAGGCAGCTCCTCACTCTGGGTCACTAGACATCGTGAGATTCCTGACCAAGATATTTGGAGCAGATTGCAAGAGAGACAGCAGGCAGAGTCCTCTCCTATAGTGTTTCTAAAAAGCCTGCAGGGACTGCTGCGTCAGTGGATTGCTTTGTTTCCCTCCAGCCACGGATTGGCGGACAGCGGCACCCAGAGGCCCAGTATGATATCCCTAGCAGGTTAGTTTTCAAGGTCCTCACAAGAGACTGTATCGGCTTTTTTCTCAAGACATATTTTAAAATACCAGCTGCTTTACTAAGAAGGGTGCAAATCATTATTTTTGATAAAATATTAACAAAATCATCATTTCACAAAATTTAATGCAAACGTTTTATTAAAATTCTTATTTTTTTTTTTTTTTTGAGACAGAGTCTTGCTTTGTCACACAGGCTGGAGTGCAGTGGCGTGATTACAGCTCACTGCAACCTCCGCCTCAAGGGTTCAAACAATTCTCCTGCCTCAGGCTCCCGAGTAGCTAGGACTACAGCTACACGCCACGATGCTCGACTAATTTTTGTATTTTTTTTTTTTAAATTTTTTTTTTTTTGAGACAGAGTCTCACTCTGTCGCCCAGGCTGGAGTGCAGTGGCCGGATCTCAGCTCACTGCAAGCTCCGCCTCCCGGGTTCACGCCATTCTCCTGCCTCAGCCTCCCAAGTAGCTGGGACCACAGGCGCCCGCCACCTCGCCCGGCTAGTTTTTTTTTGTATTTTTTAGTAGAGACGGGGTTTCACCGTGTTAGCCAGGATGGTCTCGATCTCCTGACCTCGTGATCCACCCGTCTCGGCCTCCCAAAGTGCTGGGATTACAGGCTTGAGCCACCGCGCCCGGCCCCCTAATTTTTGTATTTTTAGTAGAAACGGGGTTTTGCCATGTTGGCCAGGATGGTCTTGAACTCCTGACCTCAGGTAATTCATCCGCCTCGACCTCCCAAAGTGCTGGGATGACAGGCGTGAGCCACCGCACCCATACTAAAATTCATTAAAATTCGACTAAGAATTCTTACAAATTTTTCCCTCTTGATGTTTTCTTTTCAAGATGACACACTATTGAAACTTATTTTTCATGAAAATGGCTACTCAAGAAATTATCCACTGTAAAAAATTATTATAAAAAATCCACTGTAAATTCAATATATTAAAGGAGAAAATTTCACTATAAAAGGTGGAAAATACTGATAAAAATGTAAAATTGAGTAACTGCATTATGTAACTACTGATATAATTTACATTCGATGCTTATCCATACTTTAAAAATAGATACTTTTATAATTACAAAAATAATCAGCTCATTTATGGATACTATTGGTTGTTCATGCCCTTTTTCCTCTTGTAATACTTCCTTTTAGTTTAGGTTTTCACCCTTCATGTACCTAGGGAAGCAGAACCTATTCAGAGCTGTAGTAGGTTCTGATAAATTTAATCTAATAATGATAATCTCATCCTCTTGACAGTGCTTAGTTAGGAATACAGACTTAAAATAATAAGCAGGGTTTCTCAACCTTGGTACTATTTTGAGCCATATAATTCTTTGTGGTGGGGAGCTGTTCTGTGCCTTGTAGAATGTTCAGCAGTATCCCTGGCCTCTATGTACTAGATACCAGTAGGACCCACCCCCCACAGTTGTGACAACCATAAATATCTCCAGACATTACCAAATGTCTCTTCACCTCTCCCCATTTTCAGAAACACAGGCTTAGGGTATTCCCCTAGTGAGTATTAATGAGCCAAGAATAGGAACATGGCCTAAGTTGGTCCAATTGGATTGAAAGACTGCTTGGGGAGAGTGACTCTCTTGTCACGGACAAGGAAGAAAGTTCTCCAGTTATTGCTGCTGGCTGGTATCTTGTGACTGCAGCCTTTGGAATTCTACAAGGAGAGGAAAGCAGAGCTGAAACAATAATAGAAAAAGTATAAATAAGTGCTTATTCTTCAAAATTAGGAAGAAAAAACAATTTGTGCTATACCATGATTGTATCTGGCCTAGAGGCACTGAAACTTCTAGACCTGCCTGTCCACTAGAGTAACAACCAGCCACATGTGGTCCCTGAGAACTTGAAATGCAGCTAGTCCAAACTGAGATGTGCTGTAAGTGCAAAACACACACTAGGTGTTGAAGATTTAGTACAAAACAAGAATGTAAAATGTATTATTAATATATTTACATTATTGTAAAAATATGTTGCAATTATATCTTAGATATACTGGATTAAAATTATTGAAGTTTCACCTGTTTCTTTTTGCTATTTGAATGTGGCTACCAGATAATCTAAAATCACATCTATGGCTCACCATCTGTGGCCCACATTATATTTCTATTGGACAAAGCTGCGCTGGACTACCTGTTTTTTGGGATCATAGATTTTCTTACCGTTTAAACCAGTGTAAATTAGATTTTAATGTTTTTCCTATAGAAAACATCCTACTAGATACAGGAACTGCTATATATTTTTAGTTAGCCTTTTTACCTTTAAAATATATGGTGATATAGCAATATGTAAGTTGGCTTTTCTGTGGTATTTGCTATTTCCTCACCCTTATAATTTTCTACCTCCTAAATATAAGCAGGATTTCTCCCATCACCCATAATTTAACCTCCAAAGTACAAGCAGCCCTTTAAAGAACTAAAAAGTGTATTAAAGGGCTGCTTATACTTTGGAGCCCTTTAAGGAACTAGAAAGTGTATTAAATGGAATTTTCAAACATACACAATTATTAGTAACCTGATTGCCACACTCCTTAATGACAGGCAGGAAGCCTTTGGAGGACTTGTTACCACACCGGGGAAATTATTGCTCTCCCCAAATCTTTTGTTCACTACTATCACAGATATTCCATGGAACAACCACAGGAGTGTAATTCATCAATTCAGAGTTTTTCTGAATGTCTAATGGAATTAAAAAAAAAAAAACTGGGGATTTATCAGTAGACATTAAGATAATGTGATGTGGCAGAGGCCTTAGGCCTTAGTGATAGGCAGAGGTCTGCCACATCACATTATCTTTTTTTTTTTTTTTTTTTGAGATGGAGTTTTGCTCCAGTGTTGCCCAGGCTGGGGTGCAATGGCACAATCTTGGCTCACTGCAACCTTTGCTTCCCAGGTTCAAGCAATTCTCCTGCCTCAGTCTCCTGAGTAGCTGGGATTACAGGTGCCTGCTGCCAAGCCTGGCTAATTTTTAAAAATATTTTTAGTAGAGATGGGGTTTCACCATGTTGGAGAGGCTGGTCTTGAATTCCTGACCTCAGGCAATCCACCTGCCTTGGCCTCCCAAAGTGCTGGGATTACAGGCATGAGCCACTGCACCCAGCAGATTATCTTAATGTTTACTGATAAACCCAATTTTAAAAAATATTTAGGGTCAATATAATTTCCTCTCCTAAAAACAGCATATAGAAAATGTGTTAAACTCAAAAGCAGAAAATATAGTTTAGGACTGAAGGAGTTAGATACATTAAGAAAACCTTAGTTAATCCTTTTAACTATGTCTGGCAATATTCCATGTAAAAAAAGGTTTAGAAACTAAAATATATAGTAATTTTGGAAAATGAAAAATTGGATACAATTTATTTCAAGTTAACTTCTATGATAAGAATATTTGAGCATCATAAAACTCATAGGGAAGATGCTGAGTAATATTTGGATTATTTTCAAGTATAATTACTTCACATTTTATATGGCTAAATAAAACATGGCCAGGTGAGGTGGCTCATGCCTGTACTAGAAAAAGCTTTATCTTTGAAAAAGAGGTATAGGTAAGTCAGCTAACATTCTTCAACACATTATAAGCAAAGAGAAATAATTTACAGTTATCTGGAAGGGCATACTTTCTCTTTTAAAATTAACATTAAGAACCAAACTAACCTCAGGTCATTTTAATTTCCTCCCACGACAGTATCTCATTCTAGCTAAACCACATTCACACACACTATTAGCAAACCTCCCCACCTCATAACAATTAGCATTGTCCCTGACTAGAGAGGAAATGTATGTAAAGTGGCTCTATCTCATTTTAAAGTGACAAAGAATGTATTTTCTCTCACAAATCACTACAGCATTTAAGACTATGATCTTTCTAGATAGATCAATTTTTTCATTCAATTAGCAAATATTTTTTGTGTATCTCCCATGTTCTGGTACTAGGCACTGGGACACAATGACCAGGATAGAAAAAGATCACTATCATGGAGCTTTCAATCATACAGGAATAAAGTGAATTTTGGAAATGTTAATTACATCTTAAGAGAATTCTCTTAAATTTAGGGGCAATTGGTAATATTTTAGAGGATAGAAATTAAATGTTAATGGCCTTGATGCTCTACCAGATATTTTAAAAATAAATGGAAATAAATAGAAATAAGTACCAACTGTTACCCAGTTATGTCAAAATACTAAAAATATGTGTTGATGAATACCTGACCCTCCAAAGAAAAGACAAGCACAAAACAGCAAAATAGTAGAGGTGGAGTTAAAAAAAAAGTCAAAGTATTTAAAATTACTTGTACATGAGAAACAGGAAACAATACTTCAATTATGTCTACTTTAACCAGATGCTCAGTCTATCAGACAATTCTGTCCAAAATGAACCTGTGCTTGCAGAAGAACACTTCCTTCTCTGCTTACATTTACATCTAAATCAAGCATATAAAAAGGAATCACCCTTGTTTCCTCAGGAGTATTACAGAACAGAAGGAAACCCAGAGGCACAATTCCCCTACAGGGAATTATATTAAACAAAATATAGACTTTGGGCCAGGCACGGTGGCTCACACCTATAATCCCAGTACTTTGGGAGGCCAAGACAGGCAAATCACCTCAGGTCAGGAGTTGGAGACCAGCCTGGCCAACATGGTGAAACCCCTTCTCTACTAAAAATACCAAACTTAGCTGGGGTAGTGGAAGGTGCCTGTAATCCCAGCTACTCAAGAGGCTGAGGCAGGAGAATCGCTTGAACCCTGGAGGTGCAGATTGCAGTGAGCCAATATTGTGCCACTACACTCAAGCCTGGGTGACAGCCTAGACTCCATTTCCAAAACAAACAAACAAACAAACAAAGAGAGGTTTAGAATTATATAGTGAGCTCCATGTCCTCCTCACTCCACTGATTTGGGTTCTTTAAAATCCATTGTATAGTAGCTACACATTCTTGTATTGGCACCAGATTGGCTAGACCCTAGGAAGCATCCGAGATGTTT